CAGATCAAGTGTATGTCCATGCTTTTGCGTTGGCAGAAAAATATGTTGAATAAGATTGTGCTGTTCTAGAATAGACATAAACTTCATCATCATCATCCAGTGCCAGATCTGCGACAGACATCGGCGATCATGGTTTTCCATTCATTCCTTTGCTCGGATGCTCTCAAAAAAGCTATGTTTCCCTGATCTTTCCCTGTTACCCATTTGTTTAGGTTCCCTAAATATGTTGTTTTGGGCCTACCCCTGCCTCGTTTGCCCTCATTTTTTCAGTGAGAGCTAGATGTTCAAGACCCTTAAGTCTATTCAGTTGTCCCAAGAACTGTATTTGTCGTTTCCTGATTGTTTTTAACCTTGAGCGTCCCACGTGGGCTTCATCAAGCACTACCTCATTTGATTTCTTTTCCTTCCACGATACTCTTAGCAGTCTCCTAAGAAACCACATTTCTGTTGCTTCTATTTTATTTTCACTGTCTTTAGTATTTGTTCAGCATTCACAGCCATATATAGAAGAGTTGACCAAACATAGCGTTTCAGGACTTTCATTTTGGTGTTCATTGAGATGTTTCTATTTTTCAGGAATCATGGGCTCATTTTATTGAAACTAGCCTTAGCCATTGCAATTCTCCTTTTTATTTCTGAGGAACATTTGGCGTCAGATGTTATCATATATCCTAGATATTTAAACTGTTGGACTTGTTTGATCTTTTCACCTTTGCTAATGAGATTACAACCAGAGTTTGCCGCTTTTTAGGATATTACCATGCATTCTGTTTTCTTTACATTCAACAATAATCCTACGTTCACTTTCTGTTACAACAGTATCTAGAAGCAATTGAAGGTCCTTTTCGGAGCCTGTTATTAAAATTGTGTCATCTGCATACCTGATGTTATTAATATTTTCTCCATTTACTTTGAGGCCTGGACTTTCTTCTATGTTTCTATGGATTGTTTCACTGTACATGTTAAAGAGGTCTGGTGACATAACACATCCTTGCCTCACTCCTCGTCTGATCTTCTTATATTCACTGTATTCTCCATTAATTCGTACAGCCGTGTTTTATTGGTCCCAGAACAAATTTCTGATAATTCTTAGATCTTTTCCATCTGTGTATAGCTTTTCCAGTATTATAAATAGCTCATCATGTCCAACTTTATCAAACGCCTTTGAATAATCTATGAAGCATAAATACAGATCTTTCTGTGCTTCAGTACATCTTCCCATTAACATTGTTAAGGGGAATAGAATAGCATTTCTGGTGTCCCTTGTTAGGAACAAAGCCGAATTGCGTTTTAGATATCTCTGGTCTTACACCTTTTCTCAATTTTCCCAGTATTACTCGCAACAATATTTTTGTAAAATGACTCATAAGGCTGATTGTTCTATACATATCACACTCAGTGGCACCTGGTGTTTTAGGTAAAGCTATAAAAACTGACTTCATCATATCTTCTGGGATCTCACCGCTGTCATAAATGTAGCATTTGGGAGCTTTGTGTTTATTTCAGTGCCTATAGTTCCTCAAGCGCGACAATCACTTCAACTGGAATATTATCTGGCCCTGTGGCTTTTCCTTGTTTCATTTTTCTAATGGCAGCTTGTACTTCTGCCTTCAGTATTGGTGGTCCATTTATTTCATTCTGTATTACCGGTTTTTCTCCTCTATTATCTTTGAAAAGTTCTTCTATGTATTCTGACCATCTGTTTAAGACATCCCCGTTGTCCATTAAAATATCCCCTCCCTTTGATCTTATGCATCCTTTGACATGTGCAAAGATTCAAGATCGTAGGAGCCTATGTAAAAAATCCGATACAATCTTGGCGCGACTACTCTTGGTTTGCCACTTTGCCACTTTGTCTTTAGTCTTTACAAGCTCAACTCAAGATTTAATAGTTCGACCGTAATTTTCTTAATTTTGTGACATAGGCCTAGCATGGTGTGCTCTACCAGCCTAAGCTACGTAGGCTTATTACAACAACAAAAAAGCCAAATAATGCTACCTATGATAGTCATATCAGGATACCTGTATTTAAGGGTACATTTATTCTGCGTAATCGTAGGAATATAACAAAGACTTGATCTACACCATTGCTAAAAGCCATATTAATAATAATAATAATAATAATAATAATAATAATAATAATAATAATAATAATAATAATAATGAAGATCATTTCTATAGCGCCCACTCCCGTGTAAACACAGCTCTAGGCGCTTTACATAAAT